GCCTTTATTAATTTTTTTTCACATTTCTGCTTGATTGGTTCGTAATCCAAACAAGTCACACACCTGAAGTTGTCATTCTTGTCAAAGTACACCATGTTGAGCATTCGGAAGGACATCTGGCTGGGAAGGAAATTATATGGCATATAAATGACTAAAGCATAGGGAGTGAAATGATCACACTTAAACTTGACTGTACTGTTTTCAGTCAAAACACTGGAGCATACTTTGTCCCACTTATTGTCCTCAAAGAACATTACATCGACAGATATGGGTTTTTCAACAATGAGATGGGGTAAAGTAAGTTTACAGATAACAGGCTCATTGAAATTTTTTTGCGATGAACGAAAGTCCAATATGGGTGTAATGCAAAAGTATTCATCAGGGAGAAATAGAAAATCCTCAGTGCAATCGGATATTTCAATCTTTGTCCCATTCTTGACTGCACCTTCAGGAAAAATGAGTGAGCAATTTCCCACTCGAATAGCGCCTCCTTCTACTCCAATTGTTTTGCCTGAAAAAGAAAATGAAAAAAATCAAATATTATTGTACAATGGCAACTTCTATAAAATTAGGTACTGTTATGCCAATTGGATAAAGATGACTGACGCATCGTAAAAACCAATATAAGCACGCTTGCATCCCACCCCTGATAATCTCAAACTGGTTTGCATGTATGAATTCCTTTGGGGTTAATTATGTGGATTGCTGGACTTCTGCTATAGTGGGTTATTTCATGAGACCAATGGTCAGTCACGACTTCCTCCAAATATCAAGCCCGTGCTTCTGAAACAAATGACCGGTTAACTATTCACTAGACATGGACTAGTAATCATACGTAAGGACATGGTTTTCCATGTGATTAGACCATCTAGACTAAAGTAGGGTTGCCTCGATTTCGTGAAATATCGCGTTGCATATGAAAGTGTCTAACAGACAATGACCTATCAACATACTTACCGATCGAGATCAAACTACGAGATTTACAAATATACAAAATAATAAAACTGATATCCATTTACTAATAAATACCACGCTTTTATTCAAAATTACTGCTAAACATAGATTAGTAACAATTTAAAACGAGCAGGGGAAATTTCTTGCTATCGACTAGATAAAAAAAAAAAAAAAAAATTTTCCACACATTTTAAGGGAAGGGCTCATGTTAAATCATAAATAAAATTCGGAGGAGGTCTTATTTTCGAGGAAATACGGTAGCTGTAACATTTGTAGAATAATTTGTTTGAAGCTATAACTTTATTTTTTGAAAAGTGTGTTGCAAGTATTTTTTTATTTCCTTAGTGTGCCGCGAGCAAAAAAAGTTTGGAAACCACTGGTTTAGTCACTAGTGCTAAAGATTAAGCAACAATTTTGCTTCTTCCGTTTTGTTCTGTATTTATTCTGTTCTCAAGAGAAAGTGGGCACAGCTTGTGCCTTTGAATACACCGTATATTTCTACCATAATACTAAACAGCCTAAGTGTTTTGGTGGCAAAATTGGTCAATGTGGCCCATTGAAATTTTGTCAGGGATTTTGTCTTTCCAAATATGATAACCCTAACCTAGAGCAGTGCAGCAGTGGCTCTCGAACGGATGCCGGTGGCCCCTTAAGGAGGCCACGAAGATGTTCAATTAGGGGGGGGGCAACAGCACAAGGCTAATAATTGATCATAAAGCGAATTTGATTGCGGCCTTTTTTTAAATAAAATTCTCCGTTTGGGCGTTTACCGCAACTTGCCTAGATAGATTACGGTGTTTGCGTTTGCTATCGCAGGGTTTATTCACTTTTTTGTGCGTGATTTGTTTAATCATAATGAAATTTGGAATCCACCAATCAAAATAGTTTGCCGGTAGGCCGCATATCCTGTAGAAGAGTGTAGACAGACGGGCAGTCACACTAAATCGCAACATAACCTTTGTTGTCCTATTGTAGAGACAAAAACTCATTTGTAAATTCCGAATGCTCAAAATACAAAAATCGAACGACAGTTACGTCGGCCTTGGCTTTACCAAAGTAAATCGAGATGATATAGAATGTGCCCAATGCTTGCATTGCACTATGCAACGAGCAATGAATCATTAAGTCCGTCTAAACTCCAAAACCGCGGCGACAAAAATTATCCCCCGGTGAAATACGTTGACATTAGAGACGTATCGGATAAATTTTCGGTATCGGTATCGCAAAATGAAGACCGATATTTCCAATATATTTAGCTTTTTAATCGGACCCAGAATATTTTGAAAAATTAATTAAATACGGATGTGGGAATTTAAATTGTGTTCGTTGTTTTAGCCTCGTTAACTATGAGACATACTCTTTCCCACCCCCGTGAGTACAAACGGGAATAGGATACAGACCTAATTTTAGCTATTTATCATCCCAACTAGCTCAACTATTTTCGCTGCCAAATTTTTATATTAACATTTTTTTAATATTACATGGTTTAAATGAAATAATATTTCAATCCAATATTAGTGGATTTTCCAATGTGTGGAGTACAAAATACGACATTATATATACTGGCACCAAAACCGGGACGCCGCGGATCGGACACGCCAACCTTGGTTCAGTTCCAGTAGATTACGAGCATCAAAATTAGCTGTAAATCGTATTAAAATATCCTTTATTTGTCTTTTCTTCAAAAAACAGAAATCGTTCAACTCATCAGAAAACTTGCACTTTGTTTCCGGCATTTTTATGATTCAATGACAGTACAATTTAATGTTAATTAACGCACGGTTCATGCTTCATATCATATCTACGATATACCAATTTTTCTCTCTATCTGAACCAGTGAAGTGAGACACAAATTAGTGGTAAATCGGCAAACAATAAAATGCAATTTTGTAATAGTATCAAATAGAAAAATTATTTATGACTGTCATATTTATTTATGACTGTCTATCACCGGGACGGCCTGCCAAACCGGAACATATGGTAAACCTACTTATTATGTAATATATCTGTTTTCCAATCTAAAATAATGTGTACCGTGAATAATGTTCAGAGACTATTGTTTTAACCCGCCTGCCTGAACACTCGAGGTAATAATTACATAGTATCGTAATATCGGTATCGTAAAATGTTTTTTTAATATCAGTTATGGGTATAGGTGGGTTTTCAGTTGGTATCGGATCGGTATCAGTATCGGAGACTAAAGTGGTATTGGTATGTGTCTAGTTGACTTCGTTTCTTTGGCTGCCAAGATTTGACAAGAAATCAACATTGGATAAGTTCGGGTTTCTGTCAGAGAAAACCCCGCTCTTGAACGCAGCTAGGGAGTGGTATATCAGATTCTTACCCACTACGTAGCAAAAAAAGCGGGTTTGCTTTTGATTCCATAGAAAGTCGTAAAAACATATACAATCTAACATGTTTAATTTTTTTGGAATGGAACGGGGGTTCACGAGTGCAAAAAGGCACCGTAAGGGGGCCACGAGCCAAAAATAGATAAACTTATCTTCCCCCTGAGATAAACTAAAATCCCATCCTGTTACAGGTATTTTTAAATGCGGAAACATTTATTATTCAAAATGTTCAGTCAATGTGACACCGCGTTAGTTGTGTGAAAGTTACAACAAAACTCCAACCTACTTGTTTGGATGTCAGTTTTAGAAATAAGCTTGTTGTGGAGACCATCAGACGTATCAATTACCGAAACAGAATATTTGTCTCCGGGATCGATGCCATTTAAAATGGCCGAACCTTCCGTAGTTGTTGTTGTAATTTCATGACCACTCGATAGAGATTTCGCGACAACTTTTATATTTCTTGAAGATTCATTCACCAACTGGACACAGATTGATGACTCTAAAATATATGAGATTAGAGATGAGAAACGAAAAAATAGGCCGATTCAGATCGAGAGAATATATTTGCGGCCATAGCTCTCGTCATGCATTTTTCTCATGATGTTTGATTGTTTTAGAAATATTTGTGGTTAAGGTTATATTTTCAGTCAAATTTAATGTTGTTAGATTTCTTTACCAGAAATCTGAAAACGAAAAAAAGATCTCAACGCTGTAATAAAACGATATGGTACCAGAAACTGACGTTACAATATACCAATTTCTAGTCGCAAAGAACTCTCGGTAAACTAGTATGAAGTAATACTTCGGCTAGGTTTATTTCCTGAGAATGGGAATCAGTTTTGTCCCCGAGTTTATAAATTCGCTAATGATTTTAATAGCATTCGTGAAGCTTTACGAACGTCTGGAAAATCAGGTCTACACGGGAATGGATGAACCTTGGTAAATCGCTTCCCTGTGGGTTTAGAGTCATCAAATAGGATAAATACGAATATTCTATCCAATTAAAACAGTGGTTCCCAACCAATGGAATTTCGATACCAAAGGGTTTATTGCAGGGTAGGCTAGGAGTTTCATCGCGGAGAATATCATACATCCTGCAAAAACGTTATGATTCCGTTATTCTATTTACCATGACAAAGAAACGATAATATGAAAATGAAGTTATGAAAGCGGCTTTTCAGCTCTTCTTCATATAAAAACAAAGGCACGAAATTGAATGAAGGTCGAGGATCATATGAGATTAGCTTTGGCAAAAACTAAACCACGAATTACGCAGTTGGCTACGCGGTTTCAATGACAGCCATCACAGCTGCAGCTTGATGAATGATTAAATTACACAATATTCACTTTGCCACTCATTTTATTGATAAGTATATAAATTGAGGCAGGGGGTCGCGAAGTATGTGTAAACCACGAAAGAGCGTCGCGAGTCAAAAAAGGTTGGAAACCACTGTTCTACACCTTACTAAAGTGTACCTAATCAATTAGGAAGTGCTTAACTAAAGATTTCAATTCTTCCAAAAATTGCAGTTGATACCTGTGTCTGCATGCACAGAGTCTTGTTAGGCGTTCATTTGTAAAACACCTCATGAAGAAATAAATATTTCCTAAAGCTATGAGATCTTTGTTTTTTTGTATTCACATAGAAAAACCTAACGACATATTTATGAGAATCTTACCAGAATTTTTTTCATCCACTGAAACGGTCAAACTGGTTCCGGTATAACTTCTACTACGTTGTTTCACATCACTCTGCCCTAAAATATATAAATTTTAGATTGAGATATTTATATCAACGAAACACCACATATAATTATACATCGATATTGCCACATTGTAAACACAAATTTTGAGAAGTGTAATCCAACAAGGATCTGGACAAGTGTCCATTAAGTTTTTGAAAGATATGGGTATAGTCCTAGTTAAGAGTGCCAGAACTCAAGCTCTCTCATTTGCGACATAAAAAAGTTCTAGCAAATTGACCACTGGGACATCAAAAAAAAAATTAATTAAAGACTGAAAGACATATGTTATTTCAAACGTTTGTCAAATTTTCTTTGTCGTAATTCCGTCTGTAAAAAATCATATAAAGATGAAACATCTTTTATGCCTTGTTAATGATATGAGATCTTGAATATTTATTACTTCGTATTTTATACTGCATACCTATATTTGAGAATCTTACCCAAATATTTTGCATCCCCTGAATTGGTAAAACTGATTTCTTTCACAGTATCGTCACTGCTTTCAGTGGAACTTCTACTATGTTGTCGGATGTCACTCTGCCCTGAAATATATTTGTGATAATGATATTTATGAATTTGTATTTTTACATATGTATGTGTACACTACACATATTCAATAATTATCACAGTCACATTCTCAACATTCCAAGTAAGATCTCTGGATCCAGCTATTAATACGCCAGATTCTTTTAAGTTTTTGAAATATCTAGGTATGTTCCTGGTTGAGGGTAACCACGATGTTTCAACCGAAACTCTTACGACATATGAACATAAATAGTGCTAACATATTGACAATCATGAAAAGAATAATTGAGGGGTAAAGAATGAATGAAGGTCAGTCAAAGTTCTATAAAAAGCCATATATGTGAAATACTTTTACAGCGCTATATGCTATTCACCTCCAATACTCTCCAAATATTGTCGTTGAAATGGTTTCGAGCTAAGTGCTGTGGAGAGGAGCGATTGGGATTCAGATTTAGAACGTTTACGGTTTCCAAAAACGCTTGTTTTTTGTACGCTTTGACATCCAGTATCTAAAAAGAGTACATTGTCATGATAAAATCTGGTAAAATGTATTCGGTATATATATATATATATATATATATATTATTAGAGATCGGTGCTTGCTTCGTTCAGGCCACGCTATTACTTATATGAGCTGGTTCCAATAATGAGAGGGAATTGATTAAGTAGACTTTTGCTGAAATTCTTGTTGTTGTAGCTTGAACTATTCGCTATTTACAAAAATACATCTAAGCCAATCACTTTTTATCGTTTTTTATCTTGCCAATAAAATTTTTAGATTCAAAATCGCATTTTCATCGATAAGAATTTTCAATTGAATTTAGCTGCATGAAACTCTACAGGGCCTTTTTTATTTAACTTGAGATATCAAAATATATATAACATGCCTATTTGTCGTTTATATATAAATATACCTGTCCATATACATTGCTGTATGATGCAGTTTCAATTTGCAGACGATACCCAACAACTAAGTCTTCTTTAACATCAATGTTGATTTCTGCTCCAGGTGGAACATTTTGTAGAAATCTGCTAATCTGATCAATTTCATGATTCGACAATTCATTTTTTACTTTGATATCTGGACAGCAGTCAGATAACAATTTGGTGTTACCTAGTTCGATGCAGCATAGAATCCAATCCAGGGTGATTTTGCTGTTTTCGTATACGTACTCTTTGATAATTCCAGCTTGAGCTGTGATGAAATTCTCAACAACTGCCTTTCTTTTTGTCAAATTGGAACTAGAATTGTGGGTTAATTTTGAGATCAGAACTGAACTAATATGTTTGGATGTAGAGAGTCGAAGTAGACCTGCTACTAGTAGCATTATGAAAGTATTGTTTGTCATGTCTACATTATTTTTACTGAAATAAGCCGCGAATTCATTATCTTTCAAGTAAAAGGTCGTGTGAATGGCTGTTAAGCACATGTGATAGAGTTCCAAGCAGTTCTTTATCTTTTCATCTGGCTCTGCAGAAGCTTCGTATATAGTTGACTCATCCTTCTTTTCCTTTCGCTTTTTATTTTTCTGTTTTTTGGTCAATGGCTTCACTTTGTAGAGCAGTTGTTTTGGTTTCTCCTGTTCGGCATCAGACATTATCATTTTTAGTTTATCATCTTGGTCTTTTAAATGCCGATTCAAATATTTTGTCATAACTTCATTGAACAAAAAACCTGTTAAAAATTTATCAAAGCAAAACTCTTTGTTCTGATTATCTTTAATTAGTTGTAGAATTATTTCGCAGAATCCAGGGTTGGTTAAAAATGTTTTGGTTGGAGTCAAAAATTTTGAATCAGGATTCTCTTTCAGAACAGTTTTAATCTTTTTCTCTTTCCCCTCTTCATCAAATCCCAGTAGGGTGAGGTATTTGAATGGTTTTGTTCTAGCATGTAAGTCCGATTGCATGGTTGTAACTATTGTTCTGGAATGTGGGAAAATTTGCCGATTATCCATCAAAAAATAATGGAATAATTCATTAGGAGATATTTTGTCTTCATACCCGCAAAATTTCTTGTTGCTTACTTGTGGATTGACATACAAAGTAAAATTGTCAATAACTATCATTATTTTCTCGGAGTATGATTTTATCCAATCTATCAGAAGTTTCATTTCATCATCTGTGAGGTCTTTCATGAAGCTGTGAAGTATATCTTTTAAATTCATTTTCTCAATAATATGCTTGATTTCGTTAAAGTCTATGTAAAGTCCCAAAATATCTTCATCAAGTGTTTGGAGTGCGCTTTTGCAGACAGCTGTCTTTCCTGATAATGGAACACCGTATACCAGAAACGTTTGCCCGTGTTTGATTTTCTGGGTTATGTCATAGATATTGAATTTTGTTGATGCTTTTGTAACTGATTCTGAACATTTCTCAGCTGTTTCAACTGGGATGAATCGATCAATTGGAAAAGTGTCGGCTGCTTTCTCAAGAGTTTTTTTCACATAACCCAATACTAAAACATTAAATTAAAGCTTTGGCAAATAGTTAATGAAAGTTATTTGTCTTTTTTTGTGAAAACTTTATGTCAAATATTGATTTTATTAAAAGTTGTTGGACTTGAAAATAAAAAAAAATATTGAGATTGATATCAGAAATGAGAGAGAAAAAAACGATTTCATTATACATTTTAAATAAACATTGGCAGGTTTTTGAAAACATTTAGCGATTTTAACACGATTAGCCATGCAAAATTTGCATGTGTTATTTGTGAGTATTAAGCCGACTCCAGATTTGGTGAAATAAAATAAACCCAGTAGCCCAATAAGGGACCCACAAAATCGTGCCCGAAAATTGGATCCTGAAAAACGTCTTATTAGCCTGAAAATACGGTGCAAACCTTAGTGGTCTAGAAATATTACTTGAATTTGAGTAGCCATTACAACAAATGGAAATTTACTTGAGTAATTCACAAAAAATAATAACCGGTACGTAAAAAGAATATTTATCGGGTCCCCTTTTACCCTGAAATGCATTTTTTCTCCTTTTACCTCGTTTTATGTGTAAAATTTGGTGTGTATTTTCAATGGGGGAAAAAAATGAACTACTCATTACTGACTGATTATGATGGTACATATTGGAAGATGATTATATATCGTACCTTGCCTAAATGTAATTGTGGTGGTTCCACTTTCACCGCCGTCATTTGTTGCACATACAGATATTTTGAATTTGACAAACAATCCCTTGATTATAAGATGTGGTTCATGAACAAATTTATTTTCTTCTTTCTCATGATCGGTGGTTATTTTGAATACGTATTCTTTAGCTCCCTTTACAGTGTCACATACTATTTCAGTCTCATTTGTTTCCTTCATCACACATCTTAAGTTTTTAGGTTTTTCTGGAACTGTAAAATAAAGTAATAAACCATTTTCAATTAATCCATTAAATAATTTTGTAACACAGATAGGAAATTAAAAATTTGTACAACATAATATCTTAGTTTACTTCACGGACGTGGGATTGCGTGAATTTAAGTTATTTTAATGTGGAAAACTCGAATATTCTGATTCTTATATGAAGTGTGAAATTTCTCCAAATTTCTTTGGAGATAATTATGTCCAAGAGGATTGTTATCTCATTGCCATTGTGGGGTGGTCCACAAACAAGTCTAAGCGTCTAAAATTCATAACTGATTACCTATTTCCAAAACCAACTGCTAACCGGAGGCCATGGCTTACCACATTATTAGGAATCCTTATTGGCTTGCTTTTTTTTGAATAAATAGAAAAATCCTATCTTATCATTCTGATTTTATTAGCTTTACTTTCTATATAAGCATCAACTCGAACTTTTTTCGAAGTCGATAAAAAGATATATATAATTTTACACTGAGTCGATTTCAGTATTTCTTATTGCCGTTTATAAATTATCAAAATGATCAAATATTTTAAAAACTGCGAATTAAAGAAAAGTGTCAGAAGTTCCGATGCAGAACACTGACCATTATTATTATCTAACCTGTCATAAATGAATGCACCATAGAATATTTCCCAACACCAGCTGAGTTTTTAGTGCGGACCCTAACTTCATATTTTGAACTTAGAGATGTGTCAACAAATATAGAGCATTCAGAAGATGAGTAATTGTCCCTTTCACATCCGCATCTAGTAACTTCAATCATGTAGCTGTCGGCGCCAGTCACTTTATCCCAATTTATTTTATACTTATTGTTGACCTCAATGTGGGAGTTAACATTGACTACTTTGGCTGGATCTGAAATCAAAAAGTACTTTTGATTCGAATGTTTCATGAATTCCATGCAAACCACAAAAATACAGATGACTGTTCAAACAAGGGAATCATGATATCTAATATAATTCAGTTTTAGTTAAGATAAAAATTACCACAAACCATTATATGAATCATGAACCTATTAGAGCTCATGTGCGGGATTGCTTCACTCTTTATTATAACAGTCATGATATCAGCGCTATTTCCAAATGCAACTTGCATAATACGGCTAATTAAAATTCGTATATGTGCAAATTATTCATTAAATTACTTTTAATGAAATTCTATTCAAAATAAAACTCATGGATACTTGTGGGTTAAAAAAATTATATGGAATGTAACTGATATGCTTATGTGACAAGAAAGCTCTCAGATATAATCTTAGTCCACCTAATTTGAATACAATCATTTTTAACTTTTTCATGAATATAGAAATAAATTGTTTCAATTCTGTAGTTGACATTTGCTGCAACAAAACAAAAAGAATCCGAAAAAAAACAGACGATTCAGGAAATTTAAGGTACATTAATAAATTTCTTCAATGACCGAGTCAAGTATAATTATTACAGATGCACTCAAGCCACTTCAACAATGCTATAAAGCACAGTTTTGCAGATTATTTCATAATTCTGTTTCAAACAATGCCCTAGGCAGGCATTTACTAAATGATTTAATAAAGATAGAATGAACAGGAGAACTCCAGCGTTTTACCTAACTGAAAACCACTAGGCATACAAAATAAGATTTCATTAAAAATATATTATTGAAAAAATTCTACTCACATGTGAGAATTGGATCCGATTCCACTATTTCGTCCTCGGAAATAAAATCTTTACCACTGAATACTGACACAATGTATTGTGTGCCAGGCTTCAAGTTTTCTATCTTACATCGAGCTGTGGACACAATCTGATACGATTTCTCATTGCTCCATGTATCAGTTGCTCCAATGGTGTATGTATTCGCTTTGTTTTTTGGTTCATCAAACATCACGTCTAAGCACGATTCAGGATTTTCATCATTGTGATCAACTTTCAAATTTGAAGGTATCGACGTTTTTCCTGAGAATGGAATCATACAGTTTTAATTCGAAGGAATCTTAAATGTCTATTAGAGTCCAAAAGTTTACGAAAAAAGCTTTAGCTTTATTTGTATCCTCCAATTATGATGGTATTAAATCTTTCTGGTTTAGGAGAAATGGAAGGCAAAAATATGCCAGAAAAATACTAAATTGCTTGCTGATTCAACCTGTTTCATGTGGCCACTGTCCAATTTACTAATTAAGTATTCCCATAAATATCTGCATTGGTAATCACAAATAGCTATTATATCATTATGAACTTTTGCCGACATTTCTATTCTTCAAGATATATTTTTCAATCGTATTCTTATTAAGCCATATAGGAAGGGTTATGCCATGCTTGATGAGAAAACATAACAAAATAGCGTAGCTACCTGTTGAAAATTCAAGTGTGGAGTAAGGACCACACCCTGCGGAGTTCCTTGCGGCAACGCTTACAATGTAGGTCATTCCTAAGGTCAAGTTATTCAATACTATTTCATTTTCTTCTTTTTCTCTAAAATGGTGATCGTCATCAATTATTTTTTTCCATTTGACATGGTATGAGATCGCACTGTATGTTGGTTCCCAATTTATCCGGAAAATGTATCTCGTGAGGTTTTTGCAGCATAAATCTTTTACCTCTGGCGGAGCTTAATGCATGATAAAAAAGTTGGATATGTAAACTGTCACCAAATATTAAACTTGAAAATAAAAGTCGCATAGTTATTCACACATCATGTCTCTTACTTTCAACTAATGTACAGATATTTTATTCTTTTAACAGTCATGTCACATATTATATTACATTATTATTATATACTAAACTATATCTAGCTAAATTAAACTATTTTTATTTTTAGGCAATTATTAGCAACACAATTGAATTATTAATTAATCCACATAGACTCACCTATCTGAACAAAATGTGGATGCCGGCATGGTATACTTTCAATTTTATTTGCAATTGCAGAGACCATGATTTCATAAGAATGACCTGGTATAAGATCTGGAATGTTTGAAGACCAATCTGGAGTTTCAGTAGATTTCCATATTGCATACAACACACTTTTCACAGAAACTTTGTAAAGTTTTGGGGTGGGGTCGGAATCCTTGTACTGAATGATGAGAGTTTTTTTGTCTTGTGCACAATATCTTACTATTAAATTGCATGGTGATTTCGGACCTTTAACAAAAGAAAATGGATAAAATAAGTTTAGTGTTTGTGAATATCAGGCCACCACCTTCTATTGATACTTTTAAATTATGGGTATGATGATAAACAGTATTAGCTAAGGTCAGCTAAATGAAATGACTCTCCCTTGTATTCAACTAACGGCAAGTGAGATTTAACTCGTTGACTGACTTAACCCTCCGTTCTCCTGTGACCTGAGCCGACTCAAAACTCAGCATTTAGAGACTTCTACCAAAAATTGTTAAATAAAGATGAAAGTAGTGGCAATCACCTGCATGTATAGTCACAGTATTTGAATATTCGCCTGTGATATCTACGTTTACCGCTGCTACACGGGCTTCAATAGTTGAATTTATATTAGCAAACGTATAAATTGGAGATGTTGTTTCAATTTTATGTCTGTTAAGAACATCTGTAATATGCCACCATTCAATTACATAATATGTGGGTGGAACCTCTGGTGTTTTCCATGTTAACTTTGCAATTTTTCCATCGTTTTCGAGTTGTAGGTCAATGATTTGGTCAGGATCTAATAAAGCAACGTAAAAACAAAGTTAAAAAATTGTGCAAACTACAAATTATGTTTGAGTAGTAATTTGTACAAGGACAAACACAGATAAGAATTTTGAAATAACTGATATGATAACACAAGCACGGAAAGCTCAAACATTCATAGACAAAAGAGTCATTGTTCAAAATGCGTCATTCGTTTGAGTACTTGTTGACATAAAACCCACAGGGCGTCTCTCTGGGACATTTAAAAAACTTTAAAAGTAATGAAAGTAAACAGCAGCTACATCTTCCACTACGGACAATTTAAGAGTAATAAGAACACTAATTAATCAACAACAATACAATATAAACATAAATCACAAAGGCCTCACAAAACTTTAAAATATAGTTAATGTAAATGTAGCTTCATATTATACTCTATGCTTAGGATTGAAAGATTATTTTATTACATAGAGTTTATGCGTAATATTGGCGAAAATAATTAGTAATACATTAGAAGTTTTTTTTTAAAGAAGCTCAGGTACTTACAAACTGCAAGTGAAGCAGGATTATTAGGCATTACTACTGGGGTGCATGGGTAGTTATCAATAATAGTATGCATCCAACTTTAAATTCTGAGATTAGTAATTCTGATATTGTACATAAACTACAAGTGGGCAGTGGTTCACTAAATTTATCATTGGTCAAAGTATTTTTGGCAAAAACATGAAACCGTGAGCATATGCACTAAATTTTCTCAGTTACTTTTGCCTTTATTTGTAAAACTATTGGCCGGACATAGACCATTTGTCATTTACTGTAACCCAATAAAATATGACTGCTTCATGAAAAAATATTTAATGACTGAATATTATGTTCAACTGCCAAATTATTTGTTAAAGTATCATTTCAAAGAACGATATCAGAGGTAAACATTTCTGATGTATATTGGATGGTTTGGAGCGAGAACAAATGCATTAGTGTCATATAACTTTGTTGACTTATATAGATTACCAAGTTTTTTTTTGGCTACTGTAACAATATGCATGGTTAGTATGTTTTCCTTTAACTTGTAGAGTTTGTAATCAAGGTTTATAACTAATTTTAGGACGAGCACAAAAAATGAGTTTGGTAGCTAAGGTTAGTCCATAATAAAGATTATATAAACTTCCTTCTTTCACTATACAATTTACTCACATGTATAGAAGGTTTCAATTGGTTGTTGACTTCCCATATTTTGACCCAACAACAATTATGCAGCTTTAAACTTTAACTTAAAATAAGTATCTGAAAGATTTTACAAAGCAATGTTATTGAACTATTAGGATAAAGAATAATTAACTGTGTGATGAAGATTAATTTGATTACTAAAATACAAGACCGAGTGAATTCAAATAGCATAGTAAACCAGTGTAATCAAATTTTTTCACTACGAATGCCAAGATCAAATTGTTTAGCTAAATACTACTAAGATTAATAACAATTAACATAAACATTCAGCACAAAAAATGAAAAAGAGTTACATTACTGTTATTTGATTGCTACCGTAATCCGAATATGAATATTCCAGTAGCATAAAGACAGCAGATTTGAAACACCATTGATAAAAATGTGATATTGAACCGAATCTTAAGCAATAAAAATTAGGTATATATTGAAAGCTATTATAATTCATCATTCATACATATATCAACAAAAGTTGCACTTTTGTGTGAAATGTGTGCAGTCAATCAATATTACAAGCAGCTAGTTTTGTAAGAATACTAAGCCAAGGTACATGACCCCCAAAGATACATTTAGATTTTCAAAAGTGTACAATATATATTACTTCCATAACTTGTAATCTGCCCTTAAAATACTTTTCATCATAGGAAGTCACATTTTCACCCCAGTAGAACTAAATTACCATAGAACTACTTTAACTACAACTACAATGAACCCAATCTACTTTCAAATTCCACATGATTTGTTTTGTCCAATCACAGCATCAAAGCCAGGTGATCTTAGCTGTCACAAATAAAAGAAAATTTTAGGGGTACACAGGAAAATCTATAAATTGTCCAAAGGGTGACAATGAACGATAAACGTTTGGGAAACCAGGCACTAGAATTACTTTTAAATCCACTCATGATAAATTTAATTCTTAGAGTAAATATGAGCATGAGCAAAATTAGACTTTGATTAATTTCAGTCAATACTTGCAGGAAGGAATTTGTTAGGAATTTCACATAATGAAATTTCTAATAAGAAATTTATTAGATGAGAAATGTAAAATCCCCAGAATTTTCACTATTTTAATAAATTGCTAATAAGAACTATGATATTTGGAATATATCTTGGACTTTTGGAATGAATCATAAAATTTATCAATGTGTATACAGGGTGTTAAGAAAGTAACGCAACATTAACAGAAGTTAATATGAAATGCTACTTGAAACATTTACCGACTAACACCTTTTAACAGTATCAAATCACGGTGAACTTTCAGTTGAACATTTCGCGACCGACGTTTCTTAACAGTTACTTTCTTACATTGCCAGGACGAAAAATTGTACCTTACTTTTGGGTAACTTTTTTAACATCCTGTATTTGTAAATTATTTACTTAGTGCATGAATTAACAAAGTTAAAATGGAAAATCAACGATACTGAAGAAATTTTATAACAGCAGCTGTAAATCATTTTTGCAAGTTAAAATGGTAATTCGAACTCTCTAAATTTGATCTGCAACAAAAATTAGATATCTATGAGATCTATTAGATATCTATCATAAAAAATAGTTTAAAGCGGGTTGATTCATATTTGACAGAAACTTCTGTGTGTTCACAATTTTCGATCTTTGCTGCGTCGTAGATTCTGAAAACAAAAAAATAGTTAAATATTTCTTACAATGAAGTATATTTAATTTCATATTTCGATAGAGAATTTCATTAGATTTTGTTAGCAATTACCTAGAGAAACCAAAATGTTTAATTTAATAAAACCTTAATTTCTGTGGTGTATTTGGTCAATGTTATGGTGACCACACTCGTGACAGAAATCGAATAGGAATTGAAAAAAAAGTTTCAAAACCTAACTTTTAATTTTCTTGATAACACCTCAATTTGTATTTTGTTTTCGAATTATGACTCAAGTCTTGATACATGTCTGAGGTTAAAATATTTATTTGTTAGTCTCTTCACTAGTCATTAAATGAGCTTGGACTTTGCAATGTAAAATTGACTCCAATTCAAAATCCCCAACTTTTTGACTCAACTTATTTAAATCATTTGCTTTTATTAACATTTGACTCGGGGTTTAAATTATTATGAATCAGTCTCTAGACTGGGAATTTTTAATCCTGAAAAAGATGTATTTTGCAGGGTCATATTTTGTCATATAAAATTGTTATGCTCCTTACACGAGTTCACACTAGCTAACTAATTGTATAAATCAGTGTCTCCCAATCTTTTTTGACACATTCCTTCCTCTTTGGATTCTACTCCTACTATGCATAAATCTGCGTTGTGCATGAACTTGCATTCATTATTCAATCTTTAACAGAACATTTGCTTGTGATATACCATACATGCAAGTCATATTCTGGTTTTTATACAATTGGAAGGTTCATAATGTTCATAATGCTTTACAATCAAAAAACAAAGTAATTTCCATTTCTAGAAAAAAATTTAATTTTTCCCTGGAGAGGAATTTTATTCCAATCGGGAAACGTTCAATGTGACAATGAGATTAGTACATTTTCTTAGATGGCGTCATATGTTACTTACATTCAAATTGTGGGTTTCTTCTTTGTGGAATTCCATACACCGGCTGACTAACTCTTTCATCGCCCATTTGTGATATTACAAATACAGCGTAGTTTTGTCCAGGTTGAAGTCCAGAGAGAATGCAGAACTTTTGCTTAGTTGTCATTACTGTATCATCTCCTTCTGCTGGACGAGCCACGATTTGGTACTGTTTGTCGGCCTTGTCTGAGTCCTCAATCATAATTTGGAAGCTACGTTTTGGGTCTGCCATATTGTGGGTCACGCGTACCCTTGTTGGTGGTGAGGGATCTGTAAAGGATACAATTTTGAAAAAAAAAATAGGCATTGCCGTGCTTGGTATCCGTAAATTATACACAATAAAAATAGTAGTAGATTGTTTCAACAAATATACAGAATTTCATTTAAAAAAATTCAAATCTATAATGATAATCTAGCACTTATGAGCTTCAGATTTAACTATGATGGTATTATAGGTTAAAATCTAGAGTTCAAATTTCATGTCCATTACTTAATACGGGATGTAATGAGTTGAGTAGGTAGGTATTGCTGGAAAAATTCAAATTTTTGGAAAATAGAGTGGATCTTCACATATCAGTAGCTTCTTGTGCAAAAGCCTTGTTCAAAAAAAAAGAATATATGGTAATTAAAAAGTTCATAGAACACAGGATTCTGATTTGGTTAATATAAATTTTTGAGTTTATCGAAACATAAATCCTTGAAACCTAAACGCAATATTACGAAAATAAGGAGCAAATAATATAAAAGCATTCAATTTTGTTTCAAACCTGTTTTAACTTCAACTTCATCAGAAAATACACCACATCCTGCTTCATTTTCTGCAGCAACTTTTATTTGATAGGTGCTAGAAGCAGCGATTCCTGTTATTGTTAAACTGTTATCAGTAGTCGTTTGTTCTGATTTTGTCTGACCATTAACTTTGATGTTAACTCTGTATCGTGTAGGCTTGATTGCAAGTTCGTCCCATTTAATGTTGAGTCGCCCATTGATCATTTCATAATCTACACCTCCCGGTTTCCCAGGGTCTGGTAGAGAAAAACATGCTTTATTTAGAAATAAATTGGACATTTTGATTAAAACATTCGAAATGACCGTGAAAAGTAAGTTGGGGATAATTGAGCAATAATTTGAGGTCGACTGGAGTCAAATTTTTAAAAACAAACCTCTTCATTAAAAAAATTCAAGTTTAGAAATTCCGACCGAAATTATTTTTTAAGTTTGAATAAAGTCGAGTGAATTTAGTTTCAAACTCATTTAAATTACCCCAAAATTGTCATAAAGTACGTTTTTTTAATATTTTATACATTTTCTTCAAACATGGCTCTATACATAATACATAAAAAGTTATTTTATTTAGAATTTTTGAGAAATCTAGAATCACCGTTGTGATTCTAAATTATCATAGAGACGGTATAAACCAATGGTCAGCAACCCCTGGCATGCATGCCAATTGTGGCACGCGAGAGGATTTCTCATGGCACGTCAACCGATTTGCAGCAGATTCAGATATTTATTTTCGTAATGCGACAAACATATTGAAAACCATGCAATATTTAACTACAATCGACAAGAGGCCAAAATCTGTACCCAAAATCGGTGTAGATAAATGTGGTCGGTGCAGTTGATCATCCCCTTCCTTTCAAATTTTTGAAAACTGAAAAAGTCTCTAATTACGCATCCGATTGATTTTTACCAAAATCTCTGATTGTTTTTGTCAGTAGCGTGACGTGTTAATAGAGCCGTAAACCCTTTCAAGTTGGTGTCTGTTCTTCCTGAATCACATTCAGTCACGCCAACGATAATAGTTACTTTTTATCCAGAATTGTAAATTTGCTGAGAGTTATTATACAATCATCCGCGGCGAGATACTAAATTCAAATAAAGAAGTGTATCGAAACTAAATACAATTAGGCATGTTTATCTCATATTTTCACATCAACAGATTGAGTGGTATTTAAGACTAGTACTGTTTATATTTTGATGTGAGAAGACGCAACCGCGATTTACGTTGGACACAATTATGTCAATATAGAAGAAAATTTTAGAGTCTTGTAGCTGCAATGAAATGAATATTTTACGGGACAGAAAAGTCGGTATATGCTAAAAAAATTTACCACGTAAACGCGGCCACTGTTTCATAGGGATGAGGAAATTTTCGATTTTGAAACCCCCTGTTTCGAAAATCACGAGTGCGCGTCTGGCTGATTTTCATCATTACACTGTTAGCTACATGTAACCCCTAGTATGTGCACCAAGATGGCGGACACCAGAACGTAGTATGTGTACCAGAGTATGGCATAATTTTATTCCAATTTTCCTTATTTTAGTTCGAGAAGGTGCTCATTATTAATAAACTGGTACTCTGAATTCAAAAGGTTGCCAACCCCTGGTATAAACAAAAGGTTACTTGAAGCGGATTAACTAGCAAATTCATATGTAAATACTGAACAACCTGCAAATCCGTATTAAACAATATTACTCACATGTCTGGACCAAGATTGGGCAGATTGCTCTTTTGCTATGCTGACCATTACGTTCCGCGACAACACATATCTCATAAGTTTCTCCAGGTTTCAGATCTTTCAGTACTGCGTGGAAGGTTCCTGTCTCAGTGGGTACAGGAACGTTTATGTCACCCAGAGGATGAGCGAAAACTTTAAACCTTTGATCAGGTTGGTCCTCTGCATCAAATGATACGATCAAGGCATCATGAGGAGAACTTCGCATCGGCTGGGCTCTGACTTGTTCAGGAGCCTTTGGCTCTGAAATGATCACAATAGTCAATAACCTCAAAGCCCACTGAGTTTGATGTTAAGAAGATTAAGCTAAAACTAAATTTGCTTCTATGTTCTAATTCTCTTTCTTTTTCATGATTCTATTTTTGGCGCTTCAGAAGTATGTGCACCAAGATGGCGCAGACACTGTTAACCAGGCTTGTCTATGGGAAACGTCCCATGGGATGGGACAGCACACATCCGTATTTCCCACGGGACTTGTGGGACGTGAAAACAGTATGATTTGTTGGGAAATTATGGTAAAACACAATTTGTTATGGCTTTCGTGTCCATATATTTGAGCACAGCTCTCTTGTTAGTTATAAAAAGCAATATATATTCAGCATTAACAATATACTTCGTGAAGGGGTTGATGGACACATGTATAATGATTATGAATATAAAATTAACAAAGTCCGTGAATTTTGTTGTTTTGCATGTCACTTTGTACATGTAGTCCTATTTAATAGTCACCAAACCTAAATTTAACAATTTTCATTTGAATTTTATTCCAATGGGAATCCCATAGGATGGGATGGGACAGGCATAATTGCTATGGGATTGGATGGGAATGGGACTGAAAAATATGTCCCGTGGACAAGCCCGCTGATAACCCTAACCTGATACACATACTATGTTCAGGTTGTGCGCCATCTTGGTGCACACATTACGGGAGCACCCTATTTTTGGTATTTATTTTTTTTTTCAGGGTGTTTTGTACCCCATCCAGAATGTTGTTGCTCGATAACTAGTATTAGTTTTTTGTGTCTCCCTTCACAAGGAATTGCTAGTCTTATTCTATGTTAAACTGTATATTTAAGTTACGTTACCAAATTTTGACACATGGCGCAGGATGTACAGGGATGTGTAAACTTCTGAATTTTTGTTTTGAGGGCCTTAAAAACTCGTAAGATATGCTATGGAATAACTATATTAAATCAATAGCAATGAGAGTTTCAAGGATATTTGATATTTGAGTGAATAAATATTTACCATACAATGATGCAACATCTAAAAAAGTTGGAACATGAAAATGTGAGGATGCATGCTAATTCATAGTTTTGACGTGTTTGAATTATTTCAAATATTGACCTGTTTTTATTTCAATAGTGTTTGAATATCCACTAATTCCTGCTAAATTTTTTCCAGCTACTCGAACATTGTATGTTTGCCCAGGCATCAAATTCGGCACCACCATGCTTGTGTCTGAGGTTTTGTAATTCTGCGGCTGCTCTATTCCACAACTCACTTCAACTTCATATTCAGTGGCACCATCAGCCTCATTCCATTTTATTTTTTTAGGTTGATTAGTTTCCTGGAGATTTGTTGGATTATCCGGGTCTAACATGTAAAAAAACATAACAAAAATAATATTGGAACATGGAAACATTGAAAAGGATTAACGTCAAGTGATATGTTGAATGTATAATTGTAACTCTTTAACATGCTTCTGAAACATAGTTAAGTCTACCCCAAAAACTATTAGAATACTGAACCCAAATATCAAATTAGAAACAAAACCAGCTTTATTTAACTTTGCATGGTACTTTTCTGTGGATGACGAATTTTATTTTTGATATTATTACACGACATCAATGAAATATTGAGTAGGCCTATATCAGATAGGTTTTTATGCAACATACATGTAACAATGTCTCTCGGAGCGTAGGCCTGGTTGCTAAAAATTGGATCAGGTTCCCCCTCAGCCCTGGATTGTACATACACTTCATATGCATTTCCTGGTTTGAGGCCGTGAAATGTGTAGAAATTCTTACTGCCTTCCTTAAATTCCAAAATCCCAGTTGAGTCACATAAAGTAACTCTGTACTGTTTTGAACCATTGCTGTCAAAGTTTACTACAATTGAATTACTTGGGCAACGTTCATTATGTTTTACAGTAACATTTTGTGGAGGCAAAGGTCCTGTGTAAAAACAAAGAAAATGAATATCAGAAGAGACCATAGAGGTACTTTCAAAACTTTAAGAAAAATCTCGGCGGATGACGGAATGAATACAGTCCATGCATAACAACAAATAACTGGATAATTATTTTCATATCAAACATGGACTTTTTCATATGATTACTTTGTCTTTCCTTTTCTCCAAGTTGATTACAAAATATCTTCTTTCATAAAATATCCGTGTATGTACTAATAGTTTCGTATTTTAGAATTGCACCAATTAATTTTCAAAAAACTCAATCATTTTGTCAGTTGAATCAGTATAATTCATGATTTATGGTAGCTGCTGAAAAAGCGTAGTAAGGGTCTACAATAGCGTAAAACATACATGCAGACTTGTAATAAATATAGATGAGTATTCGTTATTACGACGTATAATAAAATAAAATTCACTCAAAGCAGGCCAAATATTTTATATTATCCGCTCATAGAACTTATTTCCCTCTGTATTTAAATCTACTTAATTCTTGCGCACAGCCGAATATAATGTAATCCAAACCAGTACATTTATTAATTTAAAAGCTAAACCTCTATTACAGAATAAGATGCTGAACTAATTGTTAAATACTTTTAGATATAACATAACTTACTAGATTTTATTGTTAAAAAACTGGACGTGATTCCGCTTTCAGCTCTAACCTTTACACTATATGTGCATTCTGGCTCCATATCTTCAAAACAAATTCCTTTTTATCGATTTTTCTCTCATGTCTGATCCCATTGCAAAACCAGATCACCTCGTAATAAGAAGGTTCAGGATCAAGAGCTTCCCACTGAATTGTTGCATTTCTCCCATCATTTCCAACAAGCTTTACAACGGTCATGCTGTGCGCTTTCAAAAATAAATTTGCAGCATTTACATGCAATAGAATATTAAGAATAAATAGTGAGGTCAAAACTAAATATTCCAATTAAATCGAACAATTCAGATATTTTTATGTAAATATCTGTACATATGATAGTTAAATCTCAGCTGCTTGTATTTTTCTTCATGACTTCATCATTTAAATTTAAAATAATAATTAATTTAAAATGCCGCATATTTGTCATTACCCTTCCAAAGTGTTCAACTAGCTTGACTAGGGCCAAGAGGCCTTTTTGTAATTTTAGTAACATAGCATTTTTCGAGAAAAAAAAATGTTCCCCAAAATCATATACAACAAAATTTTGGTTTTCATAGTTTTAAACCATTTGTTTTCTTTTTCCCCGACATAAAATATGGTCGGCTAAAAATAATGGTGATTATTTTCTGTTCAATGTTTCAATAATTTATTACCTGTATTAATAGTACTTTGGATTTGAGATTCTACAGCAGCAGGTTTCGATTGTTCTTGATCCGATCCGTTCTCGATTTCCTCAATCGAAGCTGAATTTGGTTTCTCCGTACCTTCTATAAACGTAGTTTCTCCTGCGTTTGACATTTCTGAATAAAAGAGAAATATATGATAATCAATACCTAATAATTGTCACAAACGCAATGTTTATGCAGCACAAAAACATACTTGTTATTTCAAAGTAATTGTTCAAATTGTTAAGAGTAAATTTCAATTTTTCAACTAAATGTACCAAAAAGATTGTAATAAATTGAATAACTTCCAAAAAAGTACAATTACAGTACAGTTAATCACATGCCGTAGTGATTTTATATAGCTTTCAAAAAAAATGTTGAAATTTTGTAATATTATTAAAATTATTAGATTACTGCTTCCTAATAATGAGGCTATACCAATTAAATTTAATTTAGAAACTTTTTTTTTTGAACAACAATATAAGTTTTTGCATGAATTCAATGTTGTGTTCAATATAGTGCTTTTGCAATCTAGAACTATAAAGAGTCAAATAAAATATTACTATACCTTCTTGAGTGTCTTCATTCAGATGATAACTAAATTTTAGAAATAGGCGGTTAAGCTTAAAATCTAAATCAATAGAATATTCCAATTGAATATATACAATATGCACATGGAAAATAGTTGTTAGTCAGGCAGATGTTCAGGGATTTAGGCTTGAAACTGTCTTCAAAAATTTTCTATGATCTTATTATTCATTATTATATTGAATAATTATATCAGGGGTCAAAATTAAATGTTATTTTCAGTTTGAGTTGTATTTGCACACTTGGTTGGAGAAACTCTTTGGAATAGACTTTGGAATCTACAACTAGAATTTTGTTTGAGTCATAATTTTCAATATTCATTTGTTGTGATAGAGAAGATAACGTTGCATTGACAAAAATGATTAACAATATCGAATTGCTTGTATTGAATTTTCTCTGTGAATTCAGGTAAGGCCAGTCTAATAATCGGCCCACTCACAATTATGCAGAAGAAATATTTGCTGCTTTTGATAGTTTTTCAAGTGACGCACAAACTTACATATAAATTGATGACAAAATTTAAAAACATGTTAAAATGTTAAAAATTCCATAATCTGCAATCTATTTGCACGTGTTTTCCCGTATTTAAAAAAATAATAATAAAGTGTAAATTGTTGTTTTGAATAATCTGAAATATATTATACACACCAAATGTCAACATGTCACAAACTTTAACAGTCAGCAACATGCACTTTATTGTTATTGCCAAGCTTGTCTAACTAAAGTACTATCAACAATCTCACAAATCCGAGTAATAAAATTACAAATATTGCACTCCATAATTATTATGGCCTAGGGCAGGGGTTCTCAACCAGGGGTTCGCATCTACAGGGGTATTTAGATGGCAAATAAGATTTCGTGTGTTGCTGTTTTTTTAATGTCCTTTACTACCGGAGAAAAATTGTTAGTCAATATATAACAACTTTGTTTGGTGTATAATTACCGGGGGTTTGCGTTGATTGATTGTTTCATGACTCGGGGGTACTTAACAGAAAATAGGTTGAGAAAACCTGACCTAGGGTATGGCGTCCATGATTGCTGCTGTGAGGGTGGTATGGATAGGGGCCAATAAAGCTGAAAATTGTCGGAATATTTTGTACAACGACCCCATCACCAATGCAAAAACGATAATATCGGTCAGAAACCAAAGACTTATCGATTGAAAATTAGGGAATCCCCCAAAACAGAAACTGCGGTTTCGATTCGAAAAATTTAGATAACCCGAACTGGATTGTTTTGATTAGTTTTCAGTCAATATCAAAAATGCTGAAAACAATAGCCAACTCCCCACGTCGTGGTCGAAATACCACTCGAGGAAATACTTTTATAAAGAATTCTGCAAATCCAAACTGGATTGTTTCGATTAGTTTCCAGCCAATAGCCTATTTACCAAACCTATATTTTGTGTCAAATACAACGGCGCTAACCCGGGTTGTGACGGCTATTCAAACACGGCCTAGCGATATTTTGGTGAGGAATTCTGCAACCCCGAACCTGATAAAGGGATATGGACATTGCTTAAACTTTAAAGAGTAATTACGAGAATATCGGTCGGAGACCGAAGACTTATCGGTCGAAACTGCGGTTTCGACTCATGACTCTATAGTGACACCGCGTGTCCCATCACTAATTAATTAATAACTCGCTAATTATACATATTTCATCTAAAATCAATAGGCTTCTGGTCCGAAATATGATGAATGCACATGCAAAATTTGGAGCAGATTCATTTACGCCTTCGTGAGATATCGCGTGCATCTAACAGACAAACAGACAAATACCTATCAACATACTTACCGATTTAAAGATCGATAAGTAATGAGTATTGCCGGGGGTGTATTCTTGGCGGGGGCTTTGTACAAAAGATCTAAATTTAATTCGTATAATGTTTCAATGCGGAATTAAATAAGACTTAGATTAAGATAGTAATATACAATATTCAACAGCAGTCGTTAAAAGTTATTAGTCAATAATGAAGGAGAGGAGCATTTTAAAACTTGCCATTGGCGCCCTTTTCCAAAAATACGCCACTGGATAAGAGTACATAAAATAAAAAGAAAACCAACCAATATAATACCAAGTATGTCTGATTTTGTGTTATGATCTGAATTATAAAATGGACACCTGTACACACATTATTTTTTATTCTATCTATTTTTATGTAGATATAAGTAGTTTTGTTAATTGAAAAAATCAAGTGGAAAATTATGAATGTGAACAGTTAGAATATTTAAAGGATACATAAAATAACATTGTTGAAATTAAAATCTCATTGCATGTGTTACTCATGTTTTGCATCAAAAAATAATGAAATATAATTTTCTGTCTTAGAAAATCAAAACATAACACACCCATATATTTAATAGTATATATAAATTTCAACAATCAGTAAATATCGAGTTGGAATCAAAACTGATATACATTGTTAGATATATCTAAATGGGGCAGCTACGTCAATTCTACAGAATCAAATAAAACAATAATAAATATGAGCATGATAAAATTGAATAAATCAAATAATATACAATATTATTTAATATGTTATCTGTTGTTTTGGACACCAAGTTCATTAATGAAATATACATTTTGCTTTGTATCATTGGAACATATTACACTTATATATATAAATGTAAACATAAGCAGTTGGCAGCATGATTATTTTGAATCTAAATTGATATCTGTTGTCAAATATTTTAAACTAAATATGATAAATCTTACAAACTACAGTAACAAAGTGACAATTGTTTTTCATAATTTTTGAATAAAAATTCAAAGTAATCAAACATTAAAGTCAATATATTGCATTTCTTTTCAGAATGCATAATTACATGGAAAAAACAGATATGAACATTGTTTTTCTACAATTCGCCACAAAATCAAATTTATAATCAAATTCAAACAGAGATGGCACAAAGAAAACTGTAAAAAAAGATAAGAATACTAGCACAGCAAAAATCTTTTTTTCATAAAACATATATCGTGTTTTCTGGTTTAGAGAAAAATATAAAATTCTTTTTTCTTGTCATCCCTATGTAAAATAAAGAAGAGACTGATAAGACAACATCGATTATTTAATCTGGGAGATGGGTACTCTCATAATATGTGTACCGGATTAGGGTTAGTCCATAACTTTATTCCGATTTTCCCTATTTTGTTCTATTAGAGTTTAGCGAATGTCTGTGTTAGCCAAATCATTATCCTCCTGCTCATAGATGTCAGTCCCTCCATATTGGTACACATACTGCTGGAGCGCCAGGGTTGATTTAAATTTTGAACCACATTTAACATTCACATAGAAGTATCTCAATATTATTTGTATCTCAAGTAAGATTAATTCAAAGTCCACATCTACCCCGGTGTGGCTTGCACCACCTTGCTCAATAGATTGTCAATTTTAGTTTGTACAGTAATCAAGTAATTTCCACCAGGTGTCAGTCCATTTATTGTCGCAGTCCTCTTTGTTGTTTCAATAGGATCGACATGTTCATCCTTGATCCCACTGGATACTTTGATCAAGTACGTTTTCAATGGATTGTCGTCATCATCGAAAGATACAATTAGACTCTTTTTCTGATTAGCTGTATTGCGAATGACTTTTACATTTCTTGGGGGAGGAAACTCTAAAAAAAAAGCAAGTAGTCATAGTGAGTATAAGATAAAATTCACATATTTATCTCTGAGAGAAAAGTCGATAAGATGGCTCAATCATATGACGAACCATGGGCCCTTGCTCGGTTATCAGTTCATGTAGGGAATATGATTAGTTAGCCGGTTCTCAGATAAATGAACTTGATGGTAGAGGAAGCCGTAACCTACCAGCGGTTATGTGAACCACCCTACGGTGGCGAATTCATGTAAGGTAATCAAAGGTGCGGTGGCATATTCCGAACGCTTAGCACAATGCGCCACACCGCCGAGAAGAAAAATCAGTGAATATTATTATAACAGTATTTCAAATTGTTGCCTCTCATATTGTCATCATTTCCATTAACTTTACAAATAGCAAAGGAGTTCAAGATTCCTGATATAAAAGCTTGGTTAATTAAAATAGCAGCATTAACCATGAGTTTGCATGAACCGCTGTGATACCGAGCAGCACCAATCATTGAGTATATCGTATTGGAAGAGAAACTACATTTTAACCGCTTGAACCCGGCAAGCCGGTTTACCGGCTTGTTTGAGTACGCTCTGTGCCCCGGCAAGCCGGTTTACCGGCTTGTTTTTCGTGTCGGAAGGAATCAACTTTATGATCTCGTATCTCAAGAACCACAATGAGTATTTAAATAAATGTTATATTGCATGAAAGCTTGTTATTGGGACTAATTATATTGTAAATATCGGTGCTCTAATATACGATGTTTCAGTAAAATTGGCTATTTGAAAGTGCGTATGAAATTATTGTGTGATAACAAATATTTAATATAAAGAATTTCGACTTCTTGCCTAAATAGCCACATATTCAATCGGCAATATATGTGGAGAATTTGAATAGCTTTTCATATACGTATCCAAAACAATTTTACGATGAGCCATTCAAATTTTATGGCCAAATATATTAGATTATCTGTAGATTTAACAGCGACGCTGCGTCAAAATGATGTTCTCATTGAAGAGAGGCTACGTCTCGTCACGCACAACTTTACGTATATTACGCAAATGCAACTAAACGTGACGATATCCGCAATAACGTTACGTCGAGATGTTATTATTTAAATGTCCGCAGGAAGTGATTAATTAACCCGATGCTACGCATTCAAAATTCGCACTACGCTTTGACTTTGACTGCCCGCTCAAGCCTCATAAAGTTGTGGTTACGTATACGCAATATGAACAAGATTGTGATTTTATTAGCAAATAACGGAACAATAAAAACCATGAAAAATGTATGTACATAAAAGACTGCTTGCTAAAATTTTCGAATCGAATATTGCACTTTGTTGTGCCCGGAACAATGAGGAACATGAAAATATTATGCAGATAAAAGACACATTCTAAATCCAATATTGCACTTTGTTGTGCCAGTTATACCAATGGTTGTTGGTTTCGTTACCTATACATAGGTACTCATTACAGTATTTGTAC